GGGGGGGGGGGGGGGGGGGTGTCAGTACTGTTTGAATATCTAAAATAGATTCTACAAATATATAATGGGTAATGCATATTTCACAATATACGTACGGAGTGTAGCACATTATTTGTTCTGTAGTCGTTCCGTCCTGGTGGATTGTACATTTGAAGGACTGTACAGCAGACGACAATGTAACTGTGTTCCCAAGGTGTGAATCTTCGTCGTTTAAGTTAAACGAACTCTCGGCGAATCCCGAACCGTATATCGTGATCCGGGTTTGTCCAGTAAAACTGCCTCTTGTCGGGGTTATTGAGTTGACCTTGACGTCAGCCGCTGTGGAATAAGAGGCGGGAGATTTATTAAATGTAACATATATGTAATCGTAATTGAGTTTCGATTTCAGATAAGATTTGTGTACCAAGTTCATAAAACGTTTGCATCTTTAGCAAGCTTCTGGAGAGATTCAATAAAAAAGATTCGGACGATGTTAATTATAGCATATAGAATGCAAACAAAAACATGTATCACGTGATTAAAACTTCTTGCAAATTAAGAGGAAAACAAAATGTCCATGACATGAATTCATGAATTTCGAAATTTGCGATATCAGATTATGTTCTGTTTACCTGCAAGGCTGTGGCATTCATACATCTGTAAATACCTTATTATCAACACAGTTCAGTGCTTATATTTACCATTTTAGGAGTATTCATATCATATGACTTAAAATCTGTTTCATAAAAATGTATTTAAAGTTTTAAATTGCGTATGTATCGCGAATGCTTGTTAAACGACATCTTCCATGATAGGTTAACAGTATCTAAAGTTACAATAATGACGTCAACACGTGCGTTCCGGCAATTACAGTCTAATCAATGCCATCCGAACACTCTAGGATTACATGTATAAAGTGGAAGTGTGGTAAGTATGATGCAGTACTGATCTTGATACGTATCAACCATCAAAAATGATTCGGAGGAGAACTGATATTTAATATATTTTGTGTTCATGACCGAAATTGTGAATTCTATGAATGAAGTCATGTTGTGGTACGTAAATGCATGGATGATTGCTCTTAACGAAAAAAAATATCAAATAAAGAATTATTTTGGGGACCATACACATGTATGTCGAAACTGTGGGGAAAACGCTAGCTATGTAATTGTTTTCTGGGTTGACCTTCAAATGTTTTAACAAAAGATGTGGCAGATGTAAGATTTCATAATTTGCAAAGTATCTTTATTAACTATCATCATTCCATTATATGTCACATATCAGCAATATTAATCATATGGCAACTCAACGTAATTATCTGTGTTGGACTGGTAATGAGTAGTTTTGCGGTATGTCTATGCTTCTAATGGCGTCAAAAGATATGACGAATAAGTGGCAAGATATGCCGTCATAAATGTACTCCTTTTCATTTTACTCGCTGGTATTTTTTTAATAATGTTATCGAAGTGATCTACAGCTCGTTAATATATAAAAAATATAGTGTTTTGGCCTATATACAAACGTTTACAATATAGGTCTAGTTATCCACTACGCCACCTGACCATCCGACCAACATCACTAGAGCTGACAAACGGTTAAAATTAAAAAGGTGACAAAGTGGACCCACATCGCATGCATCCCGCGATGTGATGGTATACGCCCATCTTATGATCACCTTAAGTAAACGACAATTATGTCTATAATTCGTAGTTGGTCTGTAAATCACGCGCTATGCAGAGAGTTGTACAATATGGTTTGAACATTATTTATATAAATCATGCTTAACAAAATGATTGAAACTCATTCATCATACTTAAACACTTCTTAATGGTTTGTTGAAAGTCATAAATTGGGCGTTTGCCTTCTGATAATGACGTTTTGACATTAGTTTGCTAAACATTTCAAATGTGATTAACAATTTGAAATACATTCAGACGTTATTACATTACTTATTGTATACATATAATCATACCCTAATAAGATCGCACAGTAACCCGTCAATTCAGTTAACTTGCTTAGTCATTCCACATTTCATAAAGAATTATTTTGTTTGTGGCTGTGGTCTAAATATTTCCTATTACTTGCTATAAACTAACGTCCTGAACTCTGATGACGAATACATTGATGCAAAGATCAATATATCAGATACGTCAACGGTTTTAAACATTTTAATATGCATCTTCTTAGAGTAGGGTTTTTTTTCAAAATACAAGATGGCAGGAAAGTCTGGTGGTTTTCTTAGTCCAAGAGGTTTGCAGTCTTCTCCTTAAGTAGTGTTACAGTTCACGACTTATACACACTTGACTCATTATATAATTTGAAATTCACAAGCACTTCTCTTAGTTGTTTAAATTCATAAAACAATAGGTTTTACTCGCTTCCCCTTGTTTTTGAACAATAGTTTAAAGCAATTTCAACTGTTTCTGACTCTAGCGTCACCGATGATTTCTAGAAAGACAATAAAGCTGTAGGGCGAAGTGTATTTAATGTTTGCCATAATTTGTTATCAAATGGCAAGGTGCCCTCACCTGTGTGTGTTACGTTGGTCTCTCACGACTGCGTATTACGAGTGAAATGTATGAAAATTAGTCAGCATAACAGTTAATTAGAACAATTGGTCACAAAGAAACAAGACGTACTCTTTATATTACGTTTCCCTATATGACATGGGCTTCCGTAAACAGAAAGTCATCTCCGTAATCATAGCTGAGACTAGTGACCATCTCAAAGTTAAGGAAAATCTCAAGCAATGTATTGTCTATGGGAAATCTTAGACTTGAGGAAATCTCAAGAGTGGAGATGCTTTATACAAGTGGGCCCTTTTTTATGTGTGAGAGTAACATAACTCTTGAATCCTTAACTACAAATATTTCTATTCTACTGATTGTATATATGTTTTTTTTAATTTAATGGACAGTAAAAGCTGTATATGTGGTAGAACACATTCCTATGATGTCTTACTACCTATATATATGTGAAAATGATGAAGCAGTTTGTATCCAGATTCTATAAAAAGGGCGTTGTCTTGCAGAAATTACAACATTATAACAAACCTTTGTTGAACATAAACACTGTTCGACTAAATGACATTTGATTACTTGTTAAATTCACGATAATTGACGAATATACCTTTTACTATTGTTGTCAGCAAATATTGCAGAAATTGTATANGACCTCATAAATGTTGAAAAAATAAAAATCATTCCTTAAATGACGTCAAGAAAACCAGCTGTTGAAACAAATTGAAATACTTCGTATAAATGTGAAATATGGGTTACAATTACGTGTCGTTTATGTCTGTGACACAGAGTGATCGTGATCATTCGCCTATACCGTGACACATTAACCCAACTTATAAAGACGTTTTAGTATTTTTATACCTTCTTAAAATATTTTTTTTTCAACATTGTTCATGTGTGACACGCTATGCAGATAAGATGACAAGAACAAATACCATAACATAAAGATAAATCTATCTTAAAAAAGGGAATAGGTCATTGCAGTTAACTTTAACCTCGGGAAAGGATAGGCGTTGCTTTGTCAAGTAATACAGACTTTCACCTGCTGCTATAGCACGCAAATGACTAATGCGTAAGAAACTCGGTATGCATCTATTTATATATATATTGGGCAAAGAAGTAATTCCAACAGTGTGGACAAGTTTAGGTTGGTATATATATATATATATATATATATAAACTTGTGACTATGAACTGATCATGGTAAAAGATTATCATGAATAGACAATAATCATATAACGTGAAGCTTAATTAATTTAGCTCGAAATACTCATTAACACCAACACTATTAAACAGAGAAGAAGGCGAGATTACCCTAAAGAACGAGACAGGTGTTTGGTTCGTCGACCACAAGTTAGATACCCCTTTGGAATTAAGTTGTTGTGGAAGTCTCGGAATACAAAAATACACATTTCTCGACTGTAATATTGCAATATTGTAATAAGTAGTACATAGTCCAGTTTTATATATATTGATATGTTTGCATAACAAAATACGTCGAGTTTTCTACTATTCTATCGCTGAAAACGTATTCTCAAGAGGAAATAAGTTTAGCTTGTTTTAAAAGTTCAACACGTTGCGTTGTGTTTTATCGTATACATGACCATTAATAATTATTATTGACAATCTAGCTGTGTTAGTCATTACTTTCAATATTAAGCCTCAAATATTTTTTGTGTCAAAATCTAACGAATCAGAAAGCACGAGTTTATTGCGCGGACGAATATATTATCCTATACATACGTCCTCGCAATAAATGAGTGCTTTCTGATTCGTTAGAAAAACACAAGTGTGTGGTCGTCTGGCTTTTATCACATTCCTCCCGTATTTGGTAGATATCTATACAAAGATTTTATAAACTTTGATATTATTTGCAAATACCCGGAACTTTTCAGTTCGCCATGACAAGGGGATTCCCATAAAAAGTAGTTCCGGCTAGTACGGTGATACAACATCTTGTATCACACATGTGTGATACAAACCGGCAGAAAACATCAACAGAAAATTGTTGTATTACTATTGTAAGTTTACATAGGTATGTGATAAACTTTATATTTCTACTGTATATAAATGACAATTAAACCATATTTTTTTTATATAAAATGCATTTAAACTAGTATTCTTAAATAAATGTTTTCTGTCAAAACATAGAGCTTTAAGTGATTATTGTATTATGAAATAATTTACTTTTTATACCTCTTTATATACGCAAATGATTTACTGGTTTGTGTATCACACTGTGTTCATATCATGTATATCTACAAACAATGTATTTAAGTATTTATTGAGATATAACAATCGGTGATGTGATCCAACATTAAATATACTGCTATTATGTAGTTGTAGGGGGTCTTTAAAATATATGAATAAGTTTCTATCGACTTTACATTGCTTCCTGCCAGATGTTTTTAACATAGGGAAGAGCGTGAAGGTTATATAAAGTGTCTGTTTGTGATTTGATAAGTATTTCTAAAGTGTAAAACTGGTGTACTGTAATGTCCAACAATACGAATAAACATTCTTTTTCATGCGACAAACTTGAAAATTACAACATATAATAGATTCAGCTAGGGATGAGTTCTGCTTGGTTTATACGGTAAGGCATCAGTCTATAGCAACACGGGTGTCGATTGTGTTCTATAGCAAAGAGATTGAAAAGTATGACCTCTTTTACATTAGTATAGTGATACATGGAAATATAGGAATATATCTTTTTGACTTCACATTAAGGACCTATATCGTATGAGGGAAAATAGAGGGTAGGGTTGTAGTGAGACGATCGGTCCATACCCTATATCCGAGTCGTGGAGAATGTAGGGT